AGCCGGGGGTCCCGTCCCGTTTAACGTCTTCATTAAAGTACCGTCCCTCGGCACCGCCGCTTACAGCTCGGTCGCACTGGGACAGCTGCCGGCTCCACAGGGCGCTCCCGTGTCTGAAACAAAGCACGGGCACATCATAACGCACGGGAACAGGGGACAAAGTGCCCCGCCGACCTCTAAACATCAGCGACAGACTCTCTGCACAGCTTTCCGACCTTCCTCTCACTCTCACCCAAGGGGGGAGGAGCCCAGCCCAATAAGTCATAGGCAGAGGTGCCATTTCCCTTCACTTACCCACTGTATTTTCTTCTTCTCCTCCAAAACATTCCCTGTTGGCCCACATCTTCTCATTTTCTGTCTGCATTCCAGGTGGAGCAGCTAACTGCGCTCACACGTACCTTTTCTCAGTATGGATGCAAAATTCCCTCACTTCACTTTTAAAGATAAAGCTTACAAAAACTAAACAGCACAGACTCAGAGCAGTGCTCACAACACCTCAGAGGCCAGGACGCTTCTCCACAGAGGTGCCTTTGCCTATTCACATGCTAGGCAAACAACAAAAGGTCACTGAAGGACACCACTTTGCCAACATCTCCAAAACCAGTGGGCTCAGGGGGCCAGACAAGCTGCTGATCCCTTCTAGAAAGCCATCTCTTCCCCCTTTATCGCCAGAGTCTCCACCCCACACCATGCTCTGTGGTGTGTGGCAGGGAGCTGACGTGTCAGGGGGTTCCTCACCTGCCTGCTGTGGCTGCATCCCATCTGCAGAGCTCCTGCTCCCTTCCTGCTTGTCCTCAGTGGGTGCACAAGCCTGCCTTTTCCATACAAACCTGAATTTTCACGTGTAAAACCAGAATTTCACTGATCGCCGCCAAAGGGCCTCGCTCCACCTGCAACACAAAGACACAACATCACCGGCAGCCCCCCCAACCCTGCCCACACTCACCTCACCCCCTCCGGCTCCTCCTGCAACACAAACACACACACAACAGCTAAGGCAGCCCCCCAGGACTCCTCAGGTGGGGCCAAAGCCCCCAGACCCCCACCCCGGGGCCCTGCCCGCACAGACCACACACGTTCCAGCTCTTCCAGCACCCTGCAAAGATAAAAAAAAAACATCATGAGTGTCCCCCCCACCCTGAGCCACCCGGCACCCAGTCAGGGGGGAAAAGCAGGGGCTGCACCCCAGCAAGCCCCCACCACCCCAGCCCAGTGTCAAACTGGAGGACTCCAGCCCACAGACTGGGCCAGACACCAGCACCGCCCTGAACAGAGCCCAGTAGCTCCCACCAAAGACTCCCTACTGCCAAAGAGCATCCCAGTAGCTCCCAGCAAGGACCAGCCAGCTCTCACTAGGCTCCCAGTACACTCCTGGCAAAGAGCACCCACTGCCCAGTAACCTGCCAGGAGCTCCCAGCAAAGAGCACCGAGCTCCCAGTAGGAACCCAGGAACCAGCTCCCAGCAGCCTCCAAAAAGGAGCGAGCTCCCAGTTCCCCCCAGCAAGCAGCAGCCTGCTCCCCAGGTCCCCCCAGCACCTCCCAGCAAGCAGCAGTCTGCTCCCCAGTGCCACCCAGGAGCTCCCAGTAACCCCCAGTAGC